AAAAAATATGGCAAGGAAGTGGAAGAAGTGCAGAGTAGTAAGAAGTCAAGCCATCTGCAGTCTGGCTGTCACTTTTCCTACAGTTGAACAGCCTGGAAACAAAAACTGAGGAAACTTCCTGCCACCGGAGAGAAAATGTTCCCAATACACAAGGGGAACCATACCATTGTTTATTACCTAACATTACTGAAAAATTATTGTTCTAATTCCCAACTTTAAGTATTTGAGGAGAATACAAATTCTAAAGGCCCTACTCAGATCTACTAAATAAAAATATTTCATTTTAAAAATTAAGCTTCAGGAGATTAATAACAAAAATAGTCCAGAGGCTGGAGCAATAGCACAGCGGATAGAGCATTTGCCTTGCACGGGGCCAACCCAGGTTCGATTCCCAGCATCCCATATGGTCTCCCAAGCCCCGCCAGGAGTAATTCCTGAGTGCATGAGCCAGGAATGTGGCATCTCTGGGTGACTCAAAAAGAAAAAAAAAGTCCATTTAATAACCATTCAAATTGGGAAACTCTTTAGAAGATACAAAAATGATCAAGTTTCTGTCTCAAGGAGCACATGTAAGTGAAAAACAAGTGTATGGATTTCTCCAAACCAAAGTTAGATTTGAAAAGTATCATGAGAAGAACACAATCCACTGTGGACATGGGAGTTGCAGAAGGAGTGAAAGGTATCCTAGATATATCTAGGAAAAATATATGTAGTATATATATATATATATATATATATATATATATATATACACATATACATATTACTGTCACTATGACTGTCCTCTCGTTGTTCATTGATTTGCTGGCCCAGTAGCGTCTCCATTATGAGACTTGTTACTGTGTTTGGCATATCGAATACATCATGGGAAGCTCGCCATACTTTGCCGTGCGGGCAAGATACTCTCGGTAGCTTGCCATGTTCTCCGAGAGGGGCAGAGGAATCAAATTCCGGTTGGCCATGTTGGCTGCTTGCAAGGCAAATGCCCTACCACTGTGCTATCGCTCCAGTCTGTAATATATATATATATATATATATACATATACATACATATATACATATACATACATATAATACACACATACACACACGCGCACGCACACAACACACACACACAGATATCTCCATCATAAAAACTATCATTTGACCACATAGAGAAAGAGAAGCAAAATTCTATTACAACTGATCCGAAGAAATGTCACTGATTACTGAAAACAAGTCACTAAAGATTTATATGCATCCTCTCCTAAATCTAATTGGAATTAACCGGATAGGTCCTTTGGATTCCCCAGTTTGCAGACAGGGAAAGTAAAGCTCAGAGAGTTCATGCATTTGACTCATAGTCACAGAGGTAGAGGTTGGGCTAAAGTTAAACTCCCTCCCAGAGTCTACATTCTTTCCAAAGAAGAATAAACAAAGCCCAGATGTGCACAAGTGTCAGACATGTAAAACCAGGCATGCCTTGTTCCCTCTGGTAGGAGAATGGCAGAGTAGGGTGTGTGTGTTTGTGTGCGTGTGTGTGTGTGTGTATATGTGTGTGTGTGCGCGCGCATGCATGCGTGTTGTGGGGGTGCAGTGGGAAGTGAAACTAGGCCCTAAAAATGAGATGAAACTAGGTTGTTAATACTTTTTAAAATGACGTGGGTTTCATATAACAGCATAGAATCACCTGAACATTCACAGAAGATTCTGCTAGAAGCTCCTAGGTTTGGGGCAGGAGAAATATTTCAAGTGTGTGCCTTGCGAGCAACTAACCAAATTTGATCCCTGGAGCCACATACGGTCCCCAGGTACCACCAAGAGTGATCCCCGAGCACAGAGACAGGAGCAGGCCCTAATCAGGGCTCAGTGTGCCCTTCCCTGTCCCTCCCTCAAAAAAAACCCCAAAAACTAAAAACGAAAATCAACTCAAAATTAAACAAATAAATAAATAAAACTCTTAGGTTTTTGGCTATGAATCATGAGTTATATCTTACAATCTGAAATGATAAAAATCAGTTTGAAGAATCTCACCCTGCCGTTTAAACAAATGTTTAAAAAAAAAGTGTGGCTATGAGCCACATGGAACTATTTCATAGCTGTCCAAACAAAGTCCCTACATGCCAGGCCCGAAGGAAGAATCCAAAGAGCAGGCCTTAAGACAAATGCCATGAATTCCTGTTTCACCAGAGGACAAGGACCTCTCATTTTGGAGCTGTCCAAATCTGGCACAAGTGGTGACTGGAGCATTCCCTGGCATTCAAGGTACACCATGGGTGAGCGGGTACAAACATGCACAGATATCCCTTCCTGGATGAGTCCAGAGACCTTCTCTCAGATCATCAAATCAAATATGTTTGATTTCATCAAATCAGTCCCTAGGTGACCTTGGGACAGCCCCTCTCCCTCTCTGCATCCACCTTTCTTCATCTATGAAATGAGAAAGTGAACTCGATAGAACTTGGATTTCACAATATTCCACCCTTCTTGGATACACCAGCATAAAGAACCAACTCACATCAGAGAGGACTGAATAAAGAATTCCCAAACATTCTCCACTTTACAAACCTCTAGAGGAGAATAATTTCACTTCATCTCTAGAAATAAACACACTACTTCTGACCACATTAAAAGATTAAGAATTCTCAAAATCTGGCTTCAAAGTCCTCTTTTCCATCTATTGTAATATTATCTATACAAATGTAAACTGAATCACTGATTTCAAACTGATTCAAGAACACAGGCTACCATGACCATATCCAGATACATATAGGGAATGCCTTTCTTCAGGGACCGTTTACTCCTGGGTGTTAAGCCCACTTAGAACCCAAGGATGTTCAGTTATTATTAAACATTTTTTTACTCCCAAAGATGATATGTGCATGTATATCTGTGCACATGAGTAAATGAGAGAGAAAAAAAGAGAAAGAGAGAAAGGAAGAGAGAGAGAAGTTACTAGTAGTAAATCGCACCTAAATTTGTGCAGTTTTTGGAAGAAGGAGTCACTTCAGTACTCCTTATCAGGTATTAACAAAGATAATCCTCCAACTCTAGCTATAAAAAAATCGTTTCTGTATGCATTTTTATTTTCTCCTTAGGATATTAGACCTTATATAGAGTTTATACCTTATAGAGTCAAGAAACTTTGCTTATTGGAGAGCAGATGAATCAGAAGAAGATGAAAGACTTTTTCTGTTCTCAGGGACACTGCTAAAACAGCAATCAGCACATGAATTCATTTATTTTTGAAAGAACTCAAACTTCACGGGTTCATCAAACCACATCCAGTAGTTTTACCCACAGAGGTGCCCATGAGTGACTAATTCCTGGGATCAATTCAAAGCATGCTAAACCTATGACGTGGCCCTCTTTGACCTCCAACCTGGGGACAGAAGCAGAATGACTGGTGCATGTTAACGCTGACAGTATGGAGAGCTTAATTACAGAACTAAAGAAAGGAACCCCACATCTTGAGAACTGCCTCCTCGCTATTTATTTTTATACAGCTAAATACAAATATGCATTCCTTTCCCGGACCTGTGGAAGGAAAACATGCCCAAATGTGTGACAGAACTATCAGCAGGACTGCCAACCTGAGAATCCTGAAAAAACCACACTGGAGGGGCCAAACTTGATCATCCGCAGTTGCATTGGGAACTAGCGTACTCTGTCATCAGTGGTGAGGGACTCAGGGTCCCCTTTTCTTTTCTATATTGCCTGATTTCTATAAGACTACCAAAAATCTGTGTCACCCATTTAAAGAAAATCAGATTTACCTTGAATGCCTGCCATAGCACATCCAACCAGAGGCACAAGGAAGTAGGAGATAAGTGGTGAAAAGAATTCATGCTTTCCTCTCGTTCTTATCCAACATACAGGTCTAGAGTTAACGCCTTAGCCACTGGGAATGAAGAGCTTCACTTGTGAAGTTTTGAACTCCACTGACACCTGCAACTCTCCAGAGATCTCTGTCATTTGTGAGTAGAGGCCTCTTGGGGATTAAGCTGCACAAAGACTGTGGATCTCAGCACTTAGTATGTTCTTTCTGCCACCGAAGAAACGCAACCTGGCCTGCTGGCTGTCATGTACAACCCCAAAAGCTGCCACTTCTCCAACAATCGCAGAAAAGACTTCATTTATCAACAGAGCAGCAGAAGAGGTAGAAAGTGTAGGAAGGGCAGGGCAGCAGGGTTGAATGGGGGCACGGGAGGGCCGGAGGAGTGAGGAAGGCAGGCCAAATTCTCTTTGGCACTGGAACAGATTGCAAATTTGTAAATGTGGGGAAAATGCCAAAGTCCACTGGATACCTCCAGACACTAACTGAGGGCAAGGTAAATGCTTAAAAATAAATTGGAAGCCCTCACTCAAAGGGGCAGAACTGTCTTCACTCAAGAGAGACAGTTCCAGGCAGCTCCATGAAGACTCGCCTTTTCCAAACATACTTTCTCTTTAACCTTTGAACTTTAACTTTACTTTTGTTTGTTCGGGTTGTCTGGGCTTTTTTTTTTCTTTCTTACTTTTTTTTTTTTTTTGAGATTCAGGGAAACAAGCAAGACTTGTTCCAGAACAAGTTCGCTTTGACCTATACTGTTTTAAGGATATTCCCTAAAATTCAAAAGGAGGAAGAAAAAAAAAAGTTCAATCTACGGTTTAGAGAAATTAGAAAATGAGAAAGAACTGTGAATGGAGACCTCTTACTAGACACAGCTCTGCCAGTCTAGCACGGCTGAGCGGTTCAATCCTTTGAATAACATCCTAACAGTCCCGCCTCCAGTTTGGAGACAAGTGGGGACTGAGAGATCAAAGAGCTCTGCTAGGTCCATCGAGCGTGGCTTAACAAGCTCTCAGGCCACCAGAGTCCCTAGATCCGCGGTCAGGAGACAGAACGCCTAGAAGCCTCCCCACCCCCACCCCCACCCCGCCCCAGGTGGGCAGAAAGGCTCAGAGCACAGCGATGCCAGGAGGACCCGGGAGAGCATCCCGGAGGCCCCGGGAGCACTCGGCGCGCGCGCTCTGGGTACCTTGATGTAGGCTCGCTGCAGGTAGTTGTAGGGTACCCGGCGCTGGAAGTCGCTGCGCACATCCTCGCTGACGCGGTGGCGGGACGCAGGCCCCCCGAGGCGCTGGCTCTGGCAGGCGGCGAGGCAGCGCGCCCGCTCCAGCCAGGAGCGGAGCAGGGGCAGCTCGGCCCCGGGCCCGACGGCGGGGGGCGCGAGCGGGCGGCGGGCGGCGCAGTGGCGGGCGCAGCGCACGCGGATGTCCCGCAGGCGCCGGTGGCTGCGCAGCGCCGCTTCCAGGTCCCGCACCGCCTGCTCGTAGTCCCCGCGGTAGTAGGCGGCCACGCCGCTGGCGTAGAGCAGATCGTAGGGCTGCAGCGGCCCCGGCTCGGACTCCAGCTCCTCCCGGGGGCCGCCCCGGAGTGGCGGCGGCAGCAGAAGCAGCAGCAGCAGCAGCAGCGGCCACCAGATGCGCTCCCGCATCCTCCGCCGCGGAGACGCGCGGGACGGCCACGCTCGCTCGCAGCTCCCGGGACCCGAGCGTCAGGACCGCGCTGGCCGCCGCCGTCTGGCTAGCGCTGCAAGCTTCAGGTGATCGCGGGCACTGGGCGGCCCGAGAGGCAGAGGCCCGGCCGGACGGCGGCTTTTAAAGGGACGCCCACAGCTCACACGCTCCTCCTGCTGTCGAGCCTCTGCGAGCCTCTCGCCCCGAGCCCAGCGCGCGCCCTGCAGGCTCTCGGCCGCAGCAGCTGAGGTGCCCACCGGAGAGGTTCCAGGCTAGGGGTCGACCTCTCCAGGCTGCAGAGAAAGGATGGGCAACCACTCCCTTCTTCAACAGGGAAAAGAGAGAAAAGAAGGAAAGGGAAAAAACAAACAAAAAAACACTTCGGGAGTTTGCAAGACTTCAGATGGAGTTCCTCAACTCCAAGCAATTAGTGAAAGTTTCTAAAACTGGGAAAAGAAATTAAGGGCTGAACCTTGGGGCTATGAAATGAATTCTCCGTGCTACTTCCCTTAGGAAGCACGTCTTCCTGGTTGGGAAAATTAGAAATAATGGTGGTGGGAAGGTGCAATGGTGGTGGGATTGGTGTTGGAATATTGTAGGGAATAAGTCATGAACAACGTTCTAAAAATAAATTAATTTATATTTTTAAAGGAAGCATCTCACCCTTGTCTTCTCATAACTTCGTGTGGATGTGTGCCTGAGCTTCGGAGTAACTCGCAGTGTCCGGGGGAGGAGCAACCTAGAACCCACCTTTCTGTGTGGGTAGATATTTTACCAGACCACAGAGAGTTATTGGAGGATAGAGGAGCTGTACTTAACTTGGCCTCAATTTATAGACCGTCACCTTGTCTAACTGTGCCTCAGTTTCCTTGTCTCCTACAACAGATAAGTGTTCCAAGATGATGTTGGTTTTCAAATATAAATTGTAATTGGAAGAGCTGGAGAAAGACGCAATTTAATAACTTCAGTACCCCCAGGACATAAGCAAAGAGAATCCTTCTAGAATGGGAAAGCTGACAGAAGTGGCTGTCAGAGCCTAGAGGACTAGCTGGAGGCTTTTCTCTTTCCATGTCTGCCCTTTCCCATCAAACACCTTCTGAGCCAAGGTCCTGTTCCTTGGTCTGTTCCGTGGCTCTACATCCTCACTAGTTTTCCTGAGACTGATGCTGGGACCTTTGACCCTGCCATTCTCCTGGAACCAGTCCTGTGTCTTTCCAGTGCTGTTAACAATCGGTCCAGTCCCCCTGGACCATGGCAAATAACCACAAACAAGCATTATATAGTTGTTAGGAGTTTCTGAAAGATGGGTTTTGTGTGAAATTGTAGCTGTGCTGAAGAAGTTACCACTTCTATGCCCATTCCTCCCTCATTTTGTTGGTTTTGACCTATATAACCATGAATAGCCCAATGGTCGTGTAATAAAGGGACATGGAAGGTTACGTGGTTTGTTTGTTTGTTTGTTTGTTTGTTTGTTTGTTTTTTTCTCAACTAAACCGCATCCATTTGGTCCTGATGGAAGGGTACCCATATAAAATGGAATGTGTTCTAAGAGTCTTAGGCGTTTATTGCTCCAGGATTTGCATTTGTGTTCTCTGTCTTTCTTTTCTTCAGTGATTGTCTCTAATTTGGGAATATTTTGGAGTTCAGAGCTGTCAGTATACTTAGGGAAGTTTTGAAAAACTGTGTAGTGATGGGCTGAGATCTCTGCCTAACACCATGTACAAAAGTAAGATCAAAATGGATTAAAGACCTCAACATCAGACCAGAATCCATAAGGTACATTAAAGACAAAGTTGGCAAAACCCTCCATGACATTAAAGCTAATGGTGTCTTCAAAGATGTCACACCACTGGCCAAGCAAGTGAAATCAGAGATAGACAAATGGAACTATCTTAAATGAAGAAGCTTCTGCACCTCAAAAGAAACAGAGACCAAGCTACCGAGACAGTCTACAGATTGGGAAAGGATATTCACCCAATACACATACAACAAGGGATATCAAGGATATACAAAGTACTGGTTGAAATCCACAAGAAGAAAACATACAACTCCATCAAAAAATGGGGGAGATGCAGATCAAAACAACAATGAGATATCATTTCACGCCACAGAGACTGGCCCACATCCAAAAGAACAAAAGCAATTAGTGTTGGCACGAATGTGGCGAGAAAGGGACCCTCCTTCATTGCTGGTGGGAATTCCGAATGGTTAAGCCCTTTTTGAAAACAGTATGGATGATTCTCCAAAAATTAGGAATTGAGCTCCCATTTGACCCAGCAATATCACTCCTGGGAATATACCCCAGAGAGGCAAAAAAGTATAATTGAAGTGACATCTGTACTTGTTTGTTCATTACAGCACTGTTTACAATAGCTAGAATATGGAAAAAACCTGAGTGCCCGAGAACAAATGACTGGTTAAAGAAACTTTGGTACATCTACACAATGGAGTACTATGTAGATGTTAGAAAAGATGAAGTAATGAAATTTACATACAAGATGTACTACATGGAAAGTATCATGCTAAGCAAAATGAGTCAGAAAAAGAGGGGCAGACATAGAAAGATTGCATACATCTGGGGAACATAAAGTAACAAAATAGGAGACTAACACCCAAGAATAGCCGAGATAAGTACCAAGAGGTTCACTCCATGGCTTGGAGGCCCCCCTCACCTGCTAGGGGAAAAGGCAGCTCAGACAGAGAAGGGAGCACCAAATAAAGGGTGTTGGGAGGATCCTCCCAGGATGGGAGATGCATGCTGAAAGCAGACTATAAACCAAACATGATTGACACACGATGCCTGTTTTGGCAAAACACAGCATCCAAAAGGAGAGAGAGAACAAAAGGGAATACCCTGCCACAGAGGTAGGGTGTAATGTGGAGGACGGAGGGGGTAAGAGGGATACTGAGATCATTGGTGGTGGAGAATGGGCACTGGTGGAGGGATGGGTACTCAGTCATTTTATAACTGAAACTCAAGCATAAAAAATTGTAAGTCTACAACTGTACCTCATGGTGTTTCACTAATAAAAATTAAAAAAAAGAAACAGTATAATGTCCTTCTGAGGGACTAAAGATAGAGTGACAGAATAGTCGTACATTCTCTAATATTTTCCCTATCAATTATATCTCCATTAAATTCTTATATTTGGATGCCTACTGTCAGAGAAGATTTTCTGTGTAGAAAGGGATGTTAATAAGCCAGTCCTTATCCATAGGTGCTTATGATGTTGTATAGGGGAGAGACAGGGTGTATAGAACAATAATACAATGTGTTAGGTTAGATAGAAAGTGCATATGAATGATGGTGGAAGAATCTAGGGAATTTCGGGAGAAAAATAACACGGGCAAAATGTCAAAAATTTTCTGTTTGAAGCTACCACATACTTCTTGCTTACCCTAAAATGGACAACATCTTTTCCCACTTCGTGTAGGTTCTATGGCTTTATCTCCTTATATTCACACCCTATCTGACTTTATAGAAAGCACTCAATAGAGATCTCAAATTTGCTGAGCATTTAGAGTCAGCTCAGGCAGAGCGCAGGTGAGGTGTGGCCCCCACCCCCGTGGGACCATCTTGCTGCTCCTCTCAACTCCCAGCAGAACTCCCCCTTGGGCAGGCCAGCTCCTTGTCACCACATGGCTCTTCTCTCAGTGGCTCTTCAGGCATTGGGACATGCTACCAGACCAACCACCCCCCTAGAATTTAGTTCACTGGATGAACAATAGTAAGAAATCACTCCAGGGGCTGGAGAGATAGTACAGTGGGTGGTACGTTTGCCTTGTACAAAGCTGACCCTGGTTCAACCCCCAGCATCCATATGGTCCCCTGAGCTGGCCAGTCTCCTGCCCCCGCGCCTGACTGTCCTCACTGCCGGGGCACCTTGGAGGGGAGCGGGTTGAACTTTCCTCCCCGCCCCGACCAGGGCTCCTGCAGCCAAAGACCTCCAGGACCAGCCACTACCATGCTGAGACCACTCTCCACACACATGAAGGTACTGGCAGAGGGACAAAGTCACGCGGGTTCCGGGGCCGAGATCTCCAAGCCTACTCAGATTTGGGCCGAGCATCCTCCACCCAGATCCTCCAAATTCCAGTAGGCGGGGGTCACACCCACCAACTGGCCCTCTGGCACCGTGTAATCCCATCAGCGGCCAAGACTCAGAGACTATAAAACCCAGCTCCCAGAACCACGCGACATCTTATTCTTACATCTTATTATCTCATTCCTACTTTGGACAAACTGGCAGGCTACCGAATGTAGCCTGCCCACACGGCAGAGTCTGGCAAATTCCCTGTGGTGTACCCAATATGCCAAATACCAGTAACAATGATGGGTCTCATTCTCCTAAAAAGCCTTGAATATAATCTCAGGGCTAGGATGAAGGAGACGTTACTGGGGCCTGCTTGAGGCAATCGATGATTAACAGGATGATTTGTGATTTGTGATTTGTTATTTTAGAGTCAGTTGGGGAACCAAAACTATTGATCATCAGGTTCTAACTGAGAAATTCTATTTTAATTGGCCTGAAGTGTGGCTGGAGAATTAAACTTTTTTTAAACTCGCTAAATTATTCTAATCTAAAAATTTGGTGGAGAACCAGTAGCCTATTGTCAACACTATACTCCAAAGACAATGTTTGTTAAATCTGGGTTCTAGATATTCTGGGGGATTCATGAATATGAAATATGTCCGCTCTCACATCTCTCCACCCTGATGAGACAGTCTAATCTATCAAAGTTGAATTCGAACAAATATTCCTGACCCTGTAGTCATAAGAGCCAGAGATGACAATTCTCTCCCCAAAGGTATCTACTCCATATTAGAGAGACCATTTTTCATGTTTTTTTTTCATACTCCTGAACATTTGACTCTATGGGTTCTCATACAGGTATGTGGGTTTTTAATAAAACAGTTTCTAACTCCTAAGCCTGGGTTAAAGCCCCTAAATGTGTATTTCTTACAAATTCCTTGGTGATGCTGAGCTTCTGGGTGCAAGACTCAAATTTTCAAAAGTGCTTATAAATAAAATTTTCTTTGAAGAGTGGTCCTTGAAAATTCGTGTGTGTCTATGATAAGGAAATAATAGTCAGGGCCTTCATTTTTTTTTTAAATCAGG